TTAGCTTCCCCTAAATTAATTTTCCTGATAAATTATAATTTATCTAGTTGGATAAAATTCATTGATTGTTTTAGTGATCAACTGCAGATCAGTGTTGACCTGTAGGGGGCGATATAACACATGGTCGCCATCAATATGGCTGAAATTTAGCTTCTAACTGCTATGTTGCCATAGCAACTTAGCATAAGCTCACATTAATAATGTTATTTTTAGCGATTTAGTGCTACTAGAATTAATATTTATTGTTAGCACTTCAGAGTTAGCGCAGCTAGCTTTTAAATTAGCAATGGCCGCCACTGCTGAGACCTTCAGAACGCTGTGGTTCTGGTTCTGGTTCTGGAGAGGCAGACTGATGATTCCTCTAACAGCTTTTACCGGAAATAATCTCTGAAAATCCGTCTGAACGATTCATTTTAGTTTAATTTGGAGGATTTTTCCAGATTTTCCTCCAGAATGTTCAGAGTGTAAAGACGGTTCTGACCCAGTGAGATACTCAGAACCTTCTGGGTTTCACCAGTTTCTCCCCAGTCTCAGATGTTACCGGCTCTGGTCCCAGTTGGAAGCAAACAGGATGAGAATCTTCCTGCCATGTTGGTCCGGAGCCTCCAACACGCCAGGGAACCCGTCCATCAGGGCCCGTTTGATGCTGGGTCGTCCACCTGGGGGAGACACGGCGGCGTCAGTCTGCAGACCACAAATATTCAACCAACCAACCAACCAATCAATCAATAAATCAATCAACCAATCAATCAATCAATCAATCGATCAATCAATCAACCAATCAACCAACCAATCAATCAATAAATCAATCAACCAACCAACCAATCGATCAATCAACCAACCAACAACCAATCAATCAATAAATCAATCAACCAATCAATCAATCAATCAATCGATCAATCAATCAACCAATCAACCAACCAATCGATCAATCAACCAACCAACAACCAATCAATCAATCAATCAACCAACCAATCAATCAATCAATAAATCAATCAACCAATCAATCAATCAATCAATCGATCAATCAATCAACCAATCAACCAACCAATCGATCAATCAACCAACCAACAACCAATCAATCAATAAATCAATCAACCAATCAATCAATCAGTTATCTCCCCTGCCAACGTTTAGTTTCGTGAAGCTGAAGAAGTTCTACAGATCAAAATGGATCAATAACATTGGACCTTTTGATCATAAACATTAATGTCAAAGTGGAAACTGATTTCTTCAAAATAAAGACCATCGCTGATCTTCGGCTCGTTCTTCTGACGAATAAACGAGGCGTCTTGTCAAAAGACGCCATTTTGGAATCATCAGGCCAAAGAACTGATGAAGGATGAATTTATACAATCTCTTATTTGATTGCCTTTATTTGGCATAAATCAGTTTTTACTTTCACATTAAAGGTTATTTTTGGTTGAAAAACAATCCAAATTCATTTGATCTCAGGTTAATTTTAAAATGATGAATGTTGAAATGATCCCAGTCCTCCATGTTTTCATGAGCTTCAATGGAACCAGGAAACGCTCCTGAAGCGGGCCTTTCAGATAAAAGCCCAGACCTTGAAGCTCTGGAACATGTCCAGGTTCTGCTGGCGGAACTGGAAGTACTGGGCCAGCAGGCGGAACGTCTCCACGTGGTCGAACTTCCGGGCTCTGAGGAAGCGCAGGATGAAGTCGTCGTCTGTTCGCAGGAAGCCGATATCCGGCCGCGTCACGATCATATCCCGCACCTACAGAGAAGATCAGAGGAACTTCAACTTTTCCCTCTGAAAGTTGGGAAAAGTTTTCTGTCTCGTTACGAAACGAGACAGAAAATGAAAGTTTCCTTATCCAAGGCTGTGTCGCCATGGTAACCATGGTTTTACATCCTTCTGTCCAATCTGATCGATTCAGACATTTCTGAATATTTAACCAGAAAATGAAGTGCAAACCATTGATGAATCAATATTTAGCCTGACACTGACAGCTTAGTGCTAGCGCTGTTAGCTAACTGGCTGAGATCCCTGCAGAAAAATATCATCAAGTTTTCTGAAGCTTCTGAATCTGTAAACTTTGAGAGAAGCTCCGGAGATCACACCTGCTCAGACTCCCACTCAGGTTGGGCAACATCCGGGCAACTGTGACGCCATTTACGATCAGCGCCATAGTTACAGGATTTCATGCACAAACCTGATCTTGTTCAAATGTAACCGAATGTCATTTGAATTGATTTAAGAAATATGTTTGAACAGAATAATCGTTTTCTAAAACTGTTCGGTTCGGCCCGGCGCCCGGTTCGGCCCGGCGCCCGGTTGGGCCCGGAGCTCGGTTCGGCCCGGAGCTCGGTTCGGCCCGGCGCCCGGTTCGGCCCGGCGCCCGGTTCGGCCCAGTGGTACCTGCTGGATGTCCTGGTGCAGAGTGTCCGGGTTCTCGTTCAGCTCCAGCCGGGCCTTCTCCGTGGTCTCCGAGTTCAGTCCGGGAGGCACGTGGTTCATCATCTTAATCCAGAATAAATCTAATCCAGTCTCACAGTTTTTATTTTCCTCTTAAAGCTGCTTCAGGTTCGGGCCTGAAGATCAGAGACAATCGTTGATCTCCAACAAAAAGACAATCAGAAGGAGAAGAAAACAATCAGGATGTTTGGACCGACAATCATCTCCGCTGTCGGATTGGAATCGTCAGTTTGTCGTTAAAACCCGTCAGACATGTTGGATCATCTAAATCGCAGAACGGTCCGGGTCTGCAGACGATGCCGTAGATTCACATCCCATCACTCCTCCTCCTGCGGCTGCTCCCATCATGGCCGCTCCAGGTTCGGTCCATCGGCAAACATCTGGAGGTTAAAGGTTGGGAGCCTCGCTGCAGCCTGCGGGACACAAACAGCCCGCGGTGAGTTTGGCTTTTTCAGGAAGAGGATCGATCATCACATCCAAACCCAGCAGCAGCCATGTTTCATCCAACTATGGAGCAAATGACTGAAAAATGTTTCAAAGACAGAAGAAAAGCTGAACATAACCAACAGGAAGCAGAGGGTTTGGTTCCTCTGGTAAGGCGCAGCTGGTGGATCGGAGCGTTGACCGTTCAGAACCTTTAGCGGATCCATTAGCCGCTAATTCGCCTCCAGAGTGAAAAACATTTTCTGAAATTATTTTGAATTTTAATAAAGTTTCTATAGCGATACTTCAACGGCTGATGGAATCACGTGACTCTGCTCTGACTCGGTTTCTGCTAACTCACTTCTGCCCCCTTGTGGCAGCTCTGGGCATGACAGCTACTTCACGTCCACATGCTTAAAATCACAGCCAGAAACAGGAAATAATTAGTTTTCTAATAAAACACAAACAGATATGAACAGAAGATGAGAATGGACTCAGAGCTCAAATAAATTCAAATATTACACATTGGGGCTGAAGAGCTGCTGCTTTTATTTCCGGTTATCCGTTTTTTTTAGGGTCAGTCCAGACAGATGACCCCCCACTGACCCCACCCACCCAGCTGATCCCATCTGCCTCCAGCAGGAACCGGGTCAGATGTTCCGGTTCCACTGAGGGATGAGAACCATCAACATGGACGGAGGTTCCTGGAGGAGCAGCTGGAGCTCCTGCTGCTCCTCCAGGAACCTCCTGCCTGCAGGAGGAACAGAGACCAGACCTGCTCGCTGGTTGAATCCCGGCCGTCCTGCTCGGCCCATCGGCCCTCTGGTGCTGCTGCTGATGGAGGAGGAGGAAAAGGAGCAGCAGCAGGAGGAGGGCTGCATCCCGCGGGCAACACAGACTTATCCCGCATTAAATAAAAATAAAGCAAAAAGGAGAAATGAGATCCGAAATGAAATGAATAAATCCTGGAGGAGTCCGAGAGGAAGCTCGTCCTTGTGAGTCCGAGAGGCTGGAGAGGAAGATGAGGATGAGGAGGAGGATGAGGAAGAGGAGGGGGAGAAAGATCTCACTTTGTGCTCAGAAAGACGTCAGGATGCTCCAGTTCCGTCCAGTCAGCCTCCATAAGCAGGACAGCTTCCGGTTAGGACTTAAAAAATAAAAGTTAAAATCTGTAAAAGTTCAGTTACATTTTCAGGATCCAAAATATGATAAAACAGATGAACACAAATATGCGACATATTACCAGAGTAACTAGTTATAGTTACTTCAGTAACTGTAGTTTCACTTCACTGCTTTTCCTTGTTTTTATTTTTACTATATGTGAGAAACTGAACAAAAATACATATTTACCAGAAGAAACCTGCAGTTTCTGTTGTAATTTATCACATTCACATAAATTCATTTCCATTTATTTTATTTTGCCTGATTTTATCACTTTATAATTCACTTATTTATAAGATTTTTTCCCCATTTTGGTGATTAAAATCCAATCATTCCCACATGAATTTAGGTTTTTGTCTGTCTGATTACATCATTTTTGAAATATCGAATGTTTTTATCAGATTCTCAGAACTTAAGTTCTCTTTCATTTGCTTTTATTTTGACGACCAACTGTTCGGGCTTCCTGTCATTTCTTCTTACCTGCGCGCGCCTGCTGCTGGCAGCTTTGATGATGCGCGTTCACACTCACCCAGGTTCACCCAGGTTGTAGTTTCCTGCATTTGCCTGAGATGGTGAGGTTTTTATCAGTTTATAATGAATCCAAAATGTTCTCCTTGTCTTTTGTGAAAAGACAAGGAGAAAATGTAAATATTTTCACTTCCCTTTGTCTGCTTTGTTAATATTTAACCTCTATCTGCTAATATTTAGTATTTAAATTTGTTAAATTATGTAAATTCTTTCAATTGAAGATGATGATTTATACTGTAAATTTTTAATTTTATTTATAGGACTGACTTGATTAAATAAGGTAAATTTACATACAATAATAACTTGGGCTGTTTTTAATTAAACTAAATTCGAATTAGGCTTTATTTGGATTTTAAAAAATAATAATAATCCATCCAAATTTGAATATAAATCTAAGTTCAACAGATTTTCACTGAAATGATTCTCAACCATAAATTATCAGTCTGGTTCTTTTAAATTATAAAAATATATTAGTTTTTTCCAGCATTTTTCAAGGTTTTTACCAAAATAAAAGTCACCTTGGACTAACTGTCTTTTACTCTGAAGGAGTGGTGTATGTAGATTGAGCTGTGACGCACTTCCTCCTGTCTAAGGTTCACCCTGTTATATGTGGCTCTTCTGGCTCATTTCTATCTCAGCTCGCCTGTAAAACTTGTTGCTACTGAATCATTTCATATTATTGAGATTCACTGGAGTTCAATCTGCGACTTTCTGTTTGCGTCACTTCGGTTTCCGGTCAGTTTTCGTGTCTTTTCCGACGTTTCTTTGTTGAAGTTGAATCGCAGTTAGCTCCAGAGCTAGGCATCATCCGTCCCGAAAAGAACCAATCAGAGGATCGATATCTGAAGCATGGACCAATCAGGAGTCGCAGCACAAACGGAGAAGGTGAGCAGACATGTTGCTCAGGTCAGGTTTTAACATTTTATCGTTTCTATTTTTAGTTTTGTTTGAATTTGAACAGTTTATCTCCGTCTTTTAGCTGGTAGCTGAAACCTTGAACTTTTGACATAGTTCTTTTCAATTTAAAATAAAATAAATCAACCTTATTCGTGTGAAAATGAGAAATTATTCTTTAAATTAGATGTTTCTCTAGGGTCGGCCATGTTTGCTGGACAGGAGATAGCATTTAATAACTGGGTGTTTCCCTCAGTCAATATTTCAGTGCTGAAACCAGACCCAACAAAACGGCTCAAAATGACTCATTTATTTATAAACTAACCTAAATACTGCGAGGCTTAATTAGGACGACCAATAAAGAGCAGAGAAACAAATCAGGAGAAACATTTTTAATTCAGTTTAAAGTAAAAACGTGAGACTTGGTTGAAACCTGAAATATTTACAGTACAGTGAAAATCGTTTCCAGTTTATTTTTATGATCCCAGACTTTGGTTGACATATGACGTCAGTTGATTATCATTATATAAACGTTTGAGAGCAATAATAATACCAGGTTCTGTGATTGATTTAAAAAAAACATGGATTTTCTTCAGAAAACTTTTTCATCAAAGGAAACATTTATTTGGTTTTTCAAAGGTAGAGCAATACCAGAATCAAATAAAAATGTTTGATCCAGATTTTGGTTTTCGGGATGAAAGCATGAAATATAAAATCAGAATTAACATGTCAACCTAATTACACTGCAGATGGCGTTACTGATGATAAAACTGATGATAAAATAGACCTTTAAATGCGTTTAATTAGTATGTATGTGACGTCATCGTATGTGGGCGTGGCCTGAATGAGCTCTGACCATGTGGGAATTTGTCCTTCATGACTCTGATTGGGTGACCTCCTCAGGACAAGAGCCAATCAGAGCAGAGATCTCCACAGCCTCATCCTGGGAGTAATCAGATTACTTCCTGTATTTATTCTGGTTTAGGGTTAGGGTTATTCTGGTTTCCTCACATGACCTGGTCAGAACCAAATAGAACCGCTTGTGTTTTTGTTCTTCCAGAGTCCGTGGGGTTCTGTGGGCCCGGCGGCGCCGGCCTGCTCCCTGACGGAGGTGATGAGCGAGCAGCTGGCCCGGCAGCTGGACGAGGAGAACCAGGGCTTCCCAGCGCTCCCACAGTGAGTCCGGTTCACACAAACCGCCTGGTTCTGACCTGTTTGATGGGTTCTGCAACCTAGTTATGCTCGGTCCAGGCCGGCAGCCGACCCGGAGGAAGGTCCGGACACGGACAGCGACCTGATGCTGGCCCAGATGCTGCAGATGCATGAGTTCGACCGCGAGTTCGACGACCAGCTGCGGCGTGAGGAGAGGAAGTTCAACGGAGACAGCAAAGGTAGAGCAGGTTCTGGTTCTGGACCAACTTCACAGGTTCTGGACCGGCTTCACAGGTTCTGGACCGGCTGCTGTTCTGATTAGAACTTTAGCCCAACAACCACTGAGACCTCAGGTCCAGATTCCTGATCCAATCTGAACTGATTCCCGATTTGCCTCTTGTAAAACTGAATCTGTTCAGACTAAAACGAAGCCAGATCCTCCTGCTGGGGGAAACCTCGTGGTCCAGACTGCTCAGTACTGTGTTGTGCAGAGGTTCTGACCCGGTTCCATGTGGTTCTGGTTCTGTCTGCAGTGTCCATCTCCTTTGAGAACTACCGGAAGGTCCATCCTTATGAGGACAGCGACAGCTCAGAGGACGAGGTGGACTGGCAGGACACGAGACACGACCCCTACCGGGCCGGTGAGGTCCGCTGCAGGACGGGTCGGGCGGTACTGTCCGGGACCAGCGGGTAACCTGTGTGTGTGTGTGTGTGTGTGTGTGTGTGTGTGTGTGTGTGTGTGTGTGTGTGTGTGTGGTCCAGTGAAGCCCCAGACGGCGCCCCGCAGAGGCTTCAGTGGGAAGGGGAAGAACATCACCACCAAACACGACGAGGACGCCTGCGGACGGAAGAACACGGCCCGCATGGACAACGTGAGTCTATCTGCCTGCTTCTGGGCTGGTTCTGGTTGTCGTCATGATAACCAGTTTGTCTCTCTGGCCCAGTTCGCCCCGGAGGTTCTTGTGGGGGACGGGTTGGGGATGGACCTGAAGCTGTCCAACCAGGTCTTCAACTCCCTGAAGCAGCACTGCTACAGCGAGCAGCGCCGCAGCGCCCGGCTGCACGAGAAGAAGGAGCATTCCACCGCCGTACGTACCCGTCCCGGGCTCCGGACCCGGCTCTGGCTCCGGTTCTGACCCGTCTCCCTCCACAGGAGCAAGCCGTGGACCCGCGGACCCGCCTGCTCATGTACAAGATGGTGAACAGCGGCGTTCTGGAGAACATCAACGGCTGCATCAGCACCGGCAAGGAGTCGGTGGTGTTCCACGCCGACGGAGGGAGGTGAGGCCCGGTCAGACCCAAACCGTTGGCTCAGAACTCCACTGGTTTGGTCGGGTTCTGACAGATTCCCGATTCGATTCCTCGTCAAATCAGAACTTTTCCGAGTTCTGATCCGTTCAGATGGGAACGGGTCAGGATTCTGTTTCGACAAGGGTCTGAACCCGACCAAACCCTCTGGTTCCGAGCCGTCTGGTTCTGTGTGTTCCAGCCTGGAGGAGCAGCCGGTCCCAGAGGAAGTGGTTCTGAAAGTCTTCAAGACGACGCTGAACGAGTTCAAGAACCGGGACCGCTACATCAAGGACGACTACCGCTTCAAGGAGCGCTTCAGCAAACTGAACCCCAGGAAGGTGATCCGGCTCTGGGCCGAGAAGGAGATGCACAACCTGGCCAGGTACCAGAACCGCCGCCACGTCTCATCAGATCCAAGCAGACTTTGGATCCAACGCTGGTTACTGTTAGTCGATTCCTCAGGATTCATCTGGTTTTGCTCCTGGAAGCAGCAACGTTTAGCCAGACAGGAAGAGTTGGTTTTTCACCATCATATTTACATCATTTTAACAAATGTTTGAAGGTGCGGCGCGTTTTATTTTGTGGTGGTGTTGCGCAGCGCTGATGCAGACCATGGCAACCTTGTCCTCAGGATGAAGAAGGCGGGGATTCCCTGTCCAGACGTGGTTCTGCTGAAGAAGCACATCCTGGTGATGTCGTTCATCGGGAAGGAGCACGTCCCCGCGCCCAAACTCAAAGACGTGTCGCTGGGGTCCGAGGAGGCGGCGGAGGCGTACCGCCAGGTCCTGCAGGTAGCACATTGACCACACAGCCTTAAAGTGTCTGAAATTCATTAAATACGCAAATCGTAGGCTGTAAATGTTCCCGGTCCGAACCCCGGGGTTCGGACCGGGAACCCCGGGGTTCGGACCGTCAGTCCATCTTCTCTGCTCTGTCCTCAGCTGATGCAGCGCCTCTATCAGGACTGTAACCTGGTCCACGCCGACCTCAGTGAATACAACATGCTGTGGTACCAGGGGAAGGTACGGCCCGTTTCCTGGTTCTGTTCAGGTCCGCCGGTCCTCAGCCTCACCTCCGTCCTCCTCCTGTTCCTCCAGGTGTGGCTGATAGACGTCAGCCAGTCGGTGGAGCCCACCCATCCTCACGGCCTGGAGTTCCTCTTCAGGGACTGCAGGAACGTTGCCACGGTAACGGCCGCTCCGCTCAGGTACGGCCCGTTTCATCAGAGATGGGTCGGTTGACGGTTCTGGTTCTGGTCCTCCAGTTCTTCCAGAAGAAGGGAGTGAGCGAGGCGCTCAGCGTCTACGATCTTTTCAACGCCGTCACCGAACTCGACATCCCGGTCAGCGCCGACGACGACGCACGCTTCCTGTCCGAGGTAACGGACCACAGGGAACAACCGGACCGGGCCGGTTCTGGAGGCAGCAAGCTGGTACCAGATGAGACTGCTGGTTTCAGTTGGCTGCTAATGTTACCTTCAGCATCAGGCTGCTGATTGAAAGAGGCCAGGGAAACGTCTTGGACCCGACGGTCCTGAGCGTGACCCGACGGTTCTGAGCGTGACCCGACGGTTCTGAGCGTGACCCGACGGTTCTGAGCGTGACCCGTCGGTTCTGAGCGTGTGCGGTGACCCAACGGTTCTGAGCGTGACCCGTCGGTTCTGAGCGTGACCCGACGGTTCTGAGCGTGACCCGACGGTTCTGAGCGTGACCCGTCGGTTCTGAGCGTGTGCGGTGACCCGTCGGTTCTGAGCGTGTGCGGTGACCCGACGGTTCTGAGCGTGTGCGGTGACCCCTCCCTCTGTCCTCACAGATCGTTGCCATGGAGAAGCGGAACGAGGACCACGTCCAGAAGCGGGGGAAGAAGACGTTCCCGATGACGTCGGAGGACGGCGGTCCTCCTTTAGACCCCGATTCTGATGACTAGTCGTCCCCCCCTCCCTCTCACGACCCGACTCGCTTTGATCCGCCACGTCAGAACCGCTGGCGTCCGGTCCCACCGCCTCCTCCCAGGCCGGACGGAGCGCCGCCCCCTGGCTGCAGGAGGCAGAGAGCGTCATATCCTCCTGCTTATCGCCGTTTGATGTGATGAAGACAATAGAAGCAGATGAAGGTTTTCACTCCGGACCTGATGAGCGAAAGCCAATCAGACGTCCTAGTTAAATCCAAAGAGCTGCAGCCATAAACTGAGCGTTTTCATCTTTAATCAGTGTCTGTGTTTTGATTTTAAAAGGTGTTGAGCTCCGTGTTTCTGATTTTAACCAGGAGGAATATTGGGATTGATCGACTGAATGTGGAAATGAAATGTTTGCTGTGAGGAAACATCATAAATGTTTTTATTTAAACTCATACGAAGCAGGTAAACAATAAACAAATATGAAAACATGACAATCTGCTGTCTTATTTATACACATAACAGCTTTTTTGCTGAAAAACATGAATCACGTGATTCATGACATCACATGACTATACAACTGAATGCTTCCGGTTTGGCTCTGTCAAAATAAGACAAATTACAAGAGGGATCCTGTTCCCAACTTCCACCCGCTGGAGATTCATGATGTTTAAATAATCTCACATCCTGCTGAAGAAACCAAGTTTCTAAAAATATTCACAGGAAAATGATCTGAAGGAAAAACAGACGAAATCAATCATAATCTTTATTGTAGCACATTTACATCAAATTAACATTCTACGTCTAAAATAAGTATTTAATGAAATATAAAATGTATCTAAGTAATTAAACACCGATAGCTAATTTAAAACTGGAATTCCCTGTGAAATCCCGGTTATGCTCTTATTTTGAAGGAGTAAAGCGGAAGTCCTGCCCTTCAGCTAAAGCTAATGCTCCGCTGCTTCCGCGCTGTTTTCCTCCTTCAAACTGCAGGTGAAGTGAAGGCCAGGTGAGTCGGGATGGCGGAGGAACATTACCTGGAGATGAGCGAGAACCCGGTCCAGTTTGAGCATGCGTCAAGCGTCAACAACGTCTTCTTCGACGAAGCTAACAAACAGGTGAGCTAACCCGTTAGCCTCTGCTCAGTTAGTAAGGCTTGGTTTTCACCTGGCTACACAGGTAACTAATGGTGAGTTTGAATTAGCTGTTCGTAACAGAACCGGTACCAGCAGGGAGAAGGCTGTATTTTATCGTATTTTCTTTTAAAAACAATTTAAATGCTGCGGGTTTTGGTGCCCTGCGTTCTGTCTGCAGGTGTTTGCGGTGCGTTCAGGTGGAGCTACAGGTGTGGTGGTGAAAGGGCCTGATGACAAAAGCAGCGTTGCCTTCAGGTACACCAGATCATGTCAGGCTCTAAGCGTGATGAAGCTGTGAAGAGGTCAAAGGTGAGGCTGATGGTTCTGCTTTCCTCTGCAGGATGGATGACAAAGGGGAGGTGAAGTGCATCAAGTTCTCCATCGGGAACAAGATCCTGGCGGTCCAGCGGACCTCCAAGTCCGTGGTGAGTTCAGGGGCCGTCTGCATTCGGAGTATCCTGGTTCTGTTTAGTTCTGGTTCCTAACCGTCTGACCGGGTTTCCAGGACTTCATCAACTTCATCCCCGACTATCCACACACAGAGTTCACCCAGGAGTGTAAGGTCGGTCCATCTGCAGGTCAAAGGTCAGGTAGTGGAGGCGGCTCTGTCCGCTAACTGCTTCTGTTGCTCCTGCAGACGAAGAACGCCAGCGTTCTGGGGTTCTGCTGGACCAGCTGGAACGAGATCGTCTTCATAACGGACCAGGGCATAGAGTTCTACCAGGTCGGTCCGGGTCGTTCCCCGGAGACTCGGTTCTGACCCGCAGCTCACCTGTGTGTCCGTGTGTCCAGGTGTTCCCAGACAAGCGCAGCCTGAAGCTGCTGAAGAGTCAGAGCATCAACGTGAACTGGTACCAGTACTGTCCGGAAACGGCCGTGATCCTGCTGTCCACCACGGTGCAGGGCAACGTCCTGCAGCCGTTCGCCTTCCGGGTCCGTCTCTCCCGATCCGCTTCTGGAAGTTCTGGTTCTGAGCCGTACTGTGATGACCTTTACAGAGCGGATAATTAGCATGCTAACCCGTCAGGTTGTAGGATTTATTTTCAAGATGGCCGCAGGTTTTGAGCCTTTTAACGTCATTAACGTTTTCATGACTTGGACAAACTTTGTCACATCATTCGTTTTCGACGTTGGTCAAAATTTTTATGCAACTTGAAAGGAAAAATATGCAGCAGTTTGAGTCTCACCGACTGGAAGATGAAGGTCTGTCTTATTGGTTTGCTTTAGCTTCCACTGGTGCTAACTTTTGCTGTGTCAAATCTCCATAAAAACCATGGCGGCCATTTTGAAAAATGTTCACCTGAAAAAAAATAACATCAATATATTATTATTCAAAATATGTAGGCTATGATTTGACACCAAATTGCATCTAGATTGTGATTTTAGTGCAAAAATGAATTTTCCATGACAAGCAAGGCGGCCATCTTGAATTGTTCAGGTTCGGTGAAGTGATTCATTGATCTGACACATTGATCATCTTCGTCTCTGTCCTTCAGAACGGAACCATGACCAAGATGACCAAGTTCGAGATCGAGCTGCCGGTCGTCCCCAAACCGGCCAAGCTGACGCTGTCGGAGAGGGACATCGCCATGGCAACCATGTAGGTGGCGGGCGTTGGGGCGTTTGATGCCCGTTGATGACGCTGAGCGCTCTGTGTGTGTGTGTGTGTGTGTGTGTGTGTGTGTGTGTGTGTGTGTGTGTAGCTACGGCCAGCTGTACGTCATGTACCTGAAGCACCACTCCCGGACGGCGAACAGCCCCGGAGCCGAGGTGGTGCTGTACCACCTGCCCAGGTGAGTCGGTGCTGCGTTCAGAACACCCGGTCCAGGACCGGCCCGGTTCCGACACCGACCCGTCCCTCTGGTTCTGCTCTGCTCCAGGGAAGGCGCCTGTAAGAAGAGCCACGTCCTGAAGCTCAACACCACCGGGAAGTTCGCCCTGAACATCGTCGACAACTTGATCGTCGTTCACCACCAGAGTTCACAGGTCAGCGGACCGGAACCGGGACTCGGCAACCGGACTTCAGATACTGGACTCGACTTGCACAAGACAGGACTTGTAGCCTGAGACTCGAGTCTTTCCTTGTATTTTCATTCTCTCTGTAAACTTGTGGATCTGACCTGTGACTCTCCGGGTTTGGACCTGGTACCGGGCGGACTCGTTTCTGATGTGTCCTGATGTTCTGACCCGTTTTTCTCTCCGGCAGACGTCTCTGATCTTCGACATCAGGCTGAAGGAGCCCGACTGCACTGTTAACACCCACCAGCCGGTTCTGCCGGCCCGGTCCATCCATCCCTACAGGATTCCTCTGTCAGGTACCCGACCCGGTCAGAACCGCCCTCCGAGTCCACGTTCAAACCTGACTGAGTGTTTCTGCAGGTCCAGCTGCCGTTCCGACTCAGCCGCCGGTTCCGTGTCAGCTCTGTATCCTTTGGGGTTTAGCATCAGAACCGGGTCAGAACCGCTGGCTTGTTAAAACTACGGGTCTGTTTAAGGCAGACAGCAGGTCACTTCCTGGTTTAGAGGTCAGTGGGATGTTCTTCACAGCCCACAGGAAGTGGACCCGGTTCTTTGACCCAGAAGTTAATTTTCATAAATTAACGTCTGATTGTTCAAACTTTATCACCAAAAAACAAAATTTATTTACTGTTTCAAACATTTAACTTGAGGAAAAATCTGATCAAACAAGTCAAAGGGTTTGCTGATTTATTGGGTCAAATTTTTCTAAATTAAAATTCCATATCCGGGTTTTTCTATCGTTTAGTTCCTGCAAGATTTCAGTTTATTTTTTTTATTTTACTTTAGAAATGAACCAGATGTTGTATATTCATCCTATGAATTTCTCCAAACCAATAAAGTTCCTCCTGATCGTGAGATTCATAAAGGAGACATTCAGATCAATAAATTAAACGGTAACATGTTGGGCAGCTTCTCTTTTATGAATCTGTCTGGTTGGGGTCGGGGATGAGATGATGGGGTAGGGGATGAGATGATGTTGGGGTAGGGGATGAGGTGATGTTGGGGTAGGGGATGAGGTGATGTTGGGGTGGGGGATGAGGTGATGTTGGGGTAGGGGATGAGGTGATGTTGGGGTGGGGGATGAGGTGATGTTGGGGTAGGGGATGAGGTGATGTTGGGGTAGGGGATGAGATGATGTTGGGGTAGGGGATGAGGTGATGTTGGGGTAGGGGATGAGGTGATGTTGGGGTAGGGGATGAGGTGATGTTGGGGTATGGGATGAGATGATGTTGGGGTAGGGGATGAGGTGATGATGGGGTGGGGGATGAGGTGATGTTGGGGTAGGGGATGAGGTGATGTTGGGGTAGGGGATGAGGTGATGATGGGGTGGGGGATGAGGTGATGTTGGGGTAGGGGATGAGGTGATGTTGGGGTAGGGGATGAGGTGATGTTGGGGTAGGGGATGAGATGATGTTGGGGTAGGGGATGAGGTGATGTTGGGGTGGGGGATGAGGTGATGATGGGGTGGGGGATGAGGTGATGTTGGGGTGGGGGATGAGGTGATGTTGGGGTGGGGGATGAGGTGATGTTGGGGTAGGGGATGAGGTGATGTTGGGGTAGGGGATGAGATGATGGGGTGGGGGATGAGGTGATGTTGGGGTAGGGGATGAGGTGATGTTGGGGTAGGGGATGAGGTGATGTTGGGGTAGGGGATGAGATGATGTTGGGGTAGGGGATGAGGTGATGTTGGGGTGGGGGATGAGGTGATGTTGGGGTGGGGGATGAGGTGATGTTGGGGTAGGGGATGAGGTGATGTTGGGGTGGGGGATGAGGTGATGTTGGGGTGGGGGATGAGGTGATGTTGGGGTGGGGGATGAGGTGATGTTGGGGTAGGGGATGAGGTGATGTTGGGGTAGGGGATGAGGTGATTCTCTGTTAGGTTTATTTGAACTTCATTTTTTCTCTCCCTGCATCTATGTATCCACTTTAAACTCCTGTTTGACTCGTTGAGGGTCAAAGGTCACTTCCTTTGACACGTTTAGTTTATTTTCCTGAGTTCTGACCCAGACTCTTCCTCCTGGAGCGTCTTCCAGCCCGACATCATCATCAGCGCCAGTGAAGGTTTGTCCTCCTTCTGCCTGAGTTGACGGTGATTGGATTGTTCTTTAACCTCTCACCTGTGCCCCAGGTTACCTGTGGTACCTGCAGGTGAGGTTGCCCCCTACTGTCCACCTGCTGCAGGACAAGGGGAAGCTGATGGACTTCCTGCTGCGGCGAAGGGACTGCAAGATGGTGATCCTGTCGGTGTGCTCTCAGAGTGCGTATCCTAGTTGTCAGTGTCTCCACCTGCCAGGCGGGAAACCCACGACTGTTTCTGTTCCAGTTCTGGACGGGCAGGTGAAGGGCAGCCTACCCGTGGTAGCGACCGTCTTTGACAAGCTCAACCAGGTGTACAAGGAGTACCTGGAGGCGGAGCAGAGCTACACGGCGGTGAGTGCAGGAATCCCCGGCTCTCTCAACAACCGGCGACCCGGCTGGGCTAAAGGAGTCTCTGTTGGGTCTGCAGGCCATGGAGTCGGGTCCGAGTCGAGGCGGCGGCACCCAGAAACGGCCGGTCCGGACGCAGGCAGTCATTGACCAATCAGACATGTACACACACGTCCTGTCAGCGTTCACAGAGAGGAAGGTGGGAGGAGCAGGGAGGCATCCCATAATGATCCATCATCAGAACATGGAGAATTTATCCTTGATTTCAGATTTTATTCATCTGATGTTCCTGTAGAGGTTCAGGGGTTTGTTGCCCCCACATGGCCGCATGCTGTAACTGCACTGTTCTAATCTCCAGCTGTGATGGAGAACATTTCATACATAAAAATAAAAATAGTCCAGAGTACATTTTCACCAAAATTCTTTAATTTTTACAATTAATGTCAGATAAAGTGTTATTACCTCCAAACTAAAACTCATTTAGGCTAATCCAAAAACTTTAATCTGCTGCTGTTTTCCTGCAGGACGTGTCCCATAAGTTCATCATCGCCGTGCTGATGGAGTATATCCGCTCCCTGAACCAGAACCAGATCACCGTCCAGGTAAAACGCAGGCGAGTGAGCGCTCCCGTTTCCCCGTCTTTGACACTGCTGCCTCTGATTGGTTGCAGCATTACCTGTATGAGCTGGTGATCAAGACTCTGGTCCAGAACAACCTGTTCTACATGCTGCACCAGTTCCTGCAGTACCACGTCCTCAGTGACTCCAAACCTCTGGTCAGAACCTCAGCACGGCGGCGGCAGCATCATGCTGAGGGGGGCAGCCACCTGACTCAGCTGGTTGTGTTTGGTTCTGTTTCAGGCCTGCCTGCTGCTGTCTCTGGAGAGCACCTACCCTCCAGCCCACCAGCTATCTCTGGACATGCTCAAGGTACCGAATAGGAAGTGGGCCGGAACCAACCAGAACCTCACCATGCTACACGCTAACCCTGTCCATCCTGCTAATCTGTCTCCCTGCCACTAACTGCTCTCCATCTTGTCTCTCCAGCGCCTGTCGACGGCTAACGATGAGATTGTGGAGGTTCTGCTGTCCAAGCAGCAGGTTCTGGGCGCGCTCAGATTCATCCGCAGCGTTGGTACGACTGTTAGCCGTTAGCGCCGCAGCTCTTTGACCATATAAGGCCATCCTGTAACCGTTGACCCGGTTTGTTGACGCAGGCGGCCATGACAGCGTGTCGGCCAGGAAGTTCCTGGATGCGGCGCGGCAGACGGGAGACCAGATGTTGTTCTACACCGTGTTCCGGTCGTTCCAGCAGCGGAACCAGCGCCTCAGAGGAAACCCGTCCTTCAACCCAGGTCAGAACCAGAACCGCTTCCGTCTGGAGTTCAGAGTGATGTGCGGCCGCCATCTTGTTTCCAGCTGGTGTTCATTCAGACTTTGAATTCTGATGAATAACTGAACTGAAAGCCTGTTTATACATTTTCTGTAAAAACATTTCTTTTTGAGAAACCAAAGCGAAGGGACAAAAATCGGTTGAAATGAGATTAGCAGCGGTTATCCCTTACTATAGAACTATTTTAGCATTAGCATCTGATGCTAATACTAGCTTGGTAGCGTTAGCATCTGAGTTAGTCTGATGTGTCGGCTACCAGGGGAACACTGTGAGGAGCATGTGGCGCACTTCAAGCAGCTGTTTGGGGAGCAGGCGCTGATGAAGCCGTCCACAGTGTGACCTCTGACCTCCGCATGATGACCTCTGACCCCCATAGGACCAAACGGACGCAGCAGAACCACCAGGAAGGTTCCAGCATCCTCCTCTTCCTCACATCCTAAATCTGTCTGTGAATAACTAATTATAACTCCATGAACTGCAGATGACTTTGTTTGAAGATTAGAAAGTGTGAAATGTAACTTTATTCCTAAAATATGACAACTTTCATAGCAGAAAATGCTTTAATATTGTGCCACTCTGACTCCATGTCTGCAAATAAACACTGAAACAGGAAATCAGTATTTGGGTCAGGTGTTGTGGGCGGAGCCTGAGCTGCACCTGTATGCAAAGGCGTAAATCCAGCTCATTATTGGGGGGGGACCAAAAAACAGGAAAATATCTGAAGACCAATTTTGGAGGGTTGGTGAAGTTACAGGAAAATGTAACGTAAAAATGGTTTAAAAAGTTTTTAAACTACATTCAAGCTGCAGGACCAAAAATGACTAATAATGCAGATCAAACATGTCAGTCAGCAAATTATTGAGAAATGAAACTAAAACTCAAATGTTGCTTCTATACCAGTTTTGTTCAGCCTGACTGATCTACTCTCTGCTACACTTTACAATTAAGGTTCTAAATAAAGTTTTAATGAGGAACTGCTCTTAATAAAATTCCTCAAACATTTATTTATTGAAATGCCTCCCAATACAAAATATGGGCTATTTAAATAATAACTTAACTTGCTTTATTTTAAACTTTGTTTTAGTTTAGTCCTGGATGACTGAGAACAGGCAGATAGAAATGAGTATCTGGGGAGAATCATAACTTACCACATTTAAAGCACCAGAGTTTATATAGAAAATTATTCAGACTTTATTGTGTGGTTTTATAAATGCTGTTTCTTCTGTTCTCAGCTCCTCCCTCCAAACTCACTAAAACTTAGAGTTAAATATGAATGTTTGCTACCTTCTATGAAAGCAGTGCAGCAGTTTTGCTAATGAGGCAGCTTATCATGATTAAAGGTAATGATCTTTATTGTTCATGTGTTTCTTCCCACTGAGCAGCGAAAGTAAATAAAATGTTGAGATGTCTTTTGTTGTAAGTATTTACTTACTGGAGGGTTTAATGTTTGTGCTGCAGAGCTTTGGACTGAACCATTTTTCTCATAATGGTAGTTGGGGACCTAAAATGACAGATTTATTTTGTTTCTTTTACCTTTTCATATTATTATTTAAATGCAAATGTTTCTTCAATGATTGTTTTTGGGGGGACCAGACTTCCAGACTTCACCCCCTGGGATTTACGCCTATGCCTGTATGAGGCTGCATAACAATGATGTAAATCTGTGTTCATTATGTAAAATAAAGTATTTTAATAAATCTGGATTGTATGTGAACTTAACAGCTTTTCTTCACTGACAGAACAATCACAACATTTAAAAGTTCGCATCTATTCACCTGAGCAGGTTTGAAGCTGCAGACATCCTGACAGCCACCAGGGGGCGACGGTGCTCACAAACTACCACTTCCTGCAACTGAAACTAATAATTAAAACAAGAAGCTTAACCTTTTTCCTTCAGTGAGTCACATTTTTATAAAAGATTTGTGACTTTTTCAGACTCAAAACCCGAAGGAGCCTGAAGACTGTAGTTGGACACAAAATGGTTCATAAAGTAAGATTGGGAAGAAAATAAAGCATTTTCAACAAATAAAATTAATTTGAAATCTAGTAAAATGTAGTTATGTTTATGGTAATTATAATCCAGGATGTGGATATAACCAGCAGGATGATTTTTGATAAAACTCTTGAAAACATGCCAAATATATAAACCTGTTAAACAACAGGGGCAGAACTGAACCGACCAAAATCATCAGATTATCCCTTCAAACTAATTTAAAAAGCTTCATTCTGAACACTTGAAGATTAAAGTTAAATAAGCAGATATTTATAATACCAAACGTGGCACTTTTTGCATATTATTCCAACAAAAACAGCTGAAAACCCTTAAAAGCAGAGATGCTACATTAGCCTAGCCTACTGCCGAACTAGCATGTTTAGCTTAAGGGAAACGCGGTTAAATTGACGTCAGGTGGAAAACAACTCACAGTGTAAAGAGGCTGTTATAATCCGAGACGAATTTGATGCAACTAGAATATTAAAATAAGCCACATTAACTTTTATTATAGACAATAAACTCACGAGTTCAGACCGCTGGTTTCTTCTCTGACTCGGAACAGTTCCAGGTTCAGGTTATTCTCCTACACTGCCCCCATCTGGCGGACCACAGAACTACAGGTCTTCCAATTATGCTTTTGGGACCAGAAATGTGTTTAATATTTCATAAGCAGATCATTGGGACATATTTAAAGTATTTTGAAGCCAACAACACAAACAATTTTTAAAAATATTTTTAATCACTTAATCTTAGGATTATGGCCTCTTCCAACCACACGACAGGTAATTATAATACAGAAAACTTCGAGTTGGTGCCTCTTACTTCAGTCTCTTACTTCAGCTCTGAGGGAATGTCTTTAGGTGGCATCCAACTTCCACTGACCTTTAACCCCAGCACCCTCCAGGCTCTGCTTGTCCTCTCTCGGTCTCCAGCTGAACTGCTCCTGTTCCAGCTGCTCCGTTCGCTGCGTCCGCCAGCCTGAGCACAGCAACCTGACGCTCCTTCCTGCTCCTCCCAGAGCTGTGAGTTGTTCACAGTCCTGTGGGACAGTCGGTTCAATCAGGAAGATCTTCTCCACTAAACCACTAAAACCTCATCGTGTCTCTGCGATGTCTTCACATGCTGTGTAAAGTCTGGCCTCCTTCCCAGCTCCACTCTTGATTGTGTAATCTCAGTCTTGGACTAAAAGTCTAGATGCTTTTGGAAAGCATCCTGGGAAAAAGTGACAGGCAGACATTTTGAGGCTGAAGGGAACATTGGCCCTGCAGCGAGGCCTGTCTGATTAATTCTGCGCCACGGGTTTCTCAACTCCAGGCCGAAAGACGCGGCGTGAGCTGCATCTTTGCTTCAGCACACCTGAATCCATCAGGTCATTAGTGAGCTTCACTGCATCATGACAAGTTAATTCAGCTGAATCTTAAAAACACCAGACGTCAAAGCCCAGTTTAGAGGCCCTTTTTGGGTTGTTTTGCGTTACAGGTGAATAAATGCTCCAGTGAATGTGTCGTCATCCAGTTGGGCGTCCCAGAGTCTGAAAAGAAGCAAAACGTGATCCGTACAAACGACAGAGGAGACAGAAGTTATGTTGGACATTCTGCTCAGTCCACCATTGTCCCTAAACCCAGCCAGACGTTTTTGATGGTGGGTTGGTTTGTTGAAAGGGAGTCGCACTTGTGACGCAGTCAGTGACTGTCAGTCGTCTGACGTCATGTTTTCATCAAAACCGTCACCAGAGGAAAACCTTTAAATCGCTCAAAAAGAACCAGTCAGGAGGTTCTAGAGAAGTTCTGGAGATTCTACAGAGAAATCTATAAAACATTTGAAGAGCTTCTCGACCAGAGAACCAAGACCCAGACCTGGAACATCCAACGTTCCTACTGTAGATTTAAGGTTGCATCGACACCAGACCTGTTTAGACCAACTCCAGTCCGTTTGCCTAGGAAGTCCGGTTCGGTTGGTGAGGTGTGAACGCTAATCGACCTCTGACCTCTGATCCTCCAAACCTCGGTCTGGGTTCGGTTGAAGTGAACCCAGACCGAGCGACTCTTTCTCTCATCCCTGTGCCGTAGCAACTGCCACACCAGCGTCTGTGCTGCTCGCTTCTCCTCTTCGGTCCACGCTTGTACATTTGAACGCCAAGCACTTGAATGTGAACACCAAGCGGACCAGAGAGCGCTCCAAAAGCAGGAAGTGTACAACAGCGCAGGGCATTCTGGGTAAATACAACCAAAGCTAACATGCTAGCCTAGCAGTAGCAGCAGAAATGGCTCCTGGGCTTCAGGAGCCATTTCTAAAGAGAAATTACTAAACTCTGACGCCTCCATCGTGTTTCATCTGGTGAAACAGGAAGTTGCTCTCAGTGTCTACAGATGTTTTAGTGTCATTTCCTTCAGTGGTTGTTGGTGCAGCGCCCCCACAGGCCAGGAGGGGAACAGGCTGGTTTGACTTAGTGAGAAAGAGAACTGAGAGTATCGGGTGTTAAACAGCTTTAATGAGAAAACTTAAGAGGCCCAGAATCCGGTTCTGACGATGAAAGAAGACAGAAGTATGACCCATGTTGATTGACACACCTTTCCTTTACATAATCTTTATTGCTTTTCTTATTGGGTTGAATACAGAGCAGGCTTACATCTCTAGACTCTGTGAACACTGTCATGTTGCTAACAGCAGGGGACAGAAAAAGATCCAGGCTGCATTTTTATAATGCTTTGTGATTGAGGTCCAGTACACAAAGAAAAACTCATTAAATAAAACAGAAAAGGCTTCAGATCAGAGTTTGGAGACCAAAAATCAAACCACATTTTCTGTGTCTGGTAACGACGAGTTCACAGTCAAGTGCTAAATGTAGTGATTGACAGATCTGATCATGATGTCATCTTTAAAAAAGACAAAGTAATCTGGACAAGCTGCGACTCAGGAGGAAAACAACAAGAAGCATTTCAAATCATGGATTTGTGAAAGACCCTGAGAGCGAGATTATATAGATTTTGATATTTTTATGTGTAGCACAAGAAGTGATGGAGAAAGGAGAAATCATCCATAATGAACAAATTAGATTAACATGCAAAAAATCTAACCTAAAACTCACCCTTTAATTAATCACAATAGATTTTCACAGTTTTATATGCATTTATGTCATAGAAGAAAACTAAAAATAAACAGAACCAACAGACCCAGACAGACTGTTCTCGACTCACACACAGGAAAATCTACATAAAGCTTTTGGATTCAGAAGGATTCTTATTGCTAGTCCGAGTCTCTCGCGGCCTGCCGTGCCCTTGAGCAAGCCGGTCGAGCCACAACAACAAAAACACCAGATCCTCAACAACTCTGCAGCATAAATGTGACATTTTAATACATGGCTTCTTCTCAAGTCATTGCAGACAATTAAACTCACACACAGAAACACGCCTGGGCTCCAAATAAATACAATAAAAACAGTCCATGTGCATTCGAATGGAAGTCCAGTATTCATATGGCCGCACACGCAGACGGGACAGACGAGGAGACAAACGCCCCGAGGACAGGGAGGACACAGGAAGCCAACGAGACAGAAACCATGGAGAGAGAAAGGGCCGCTCCTTACCGCCCTCTACAGGAAGTTTAATTCATGAGAAAAGCACTGCTAACGCCAACAACAGAAGCTAATGAAGCTGTTAGCATCTTAAAGCAATATACATTTCAGATTGAACATAAAGATATTTATGGACTATATTCACTATTTAACTATTTTAAAAAATGTTTATTGTTTTCTAAAGAGTAAAGGTGAGGTTTAGCATTAGCTTCACTTCAACGTTAGCGCTAACTTTGACAGGTTTGTGAAAATTAATCTCAAATAATTTGGTGATAATTTTATTTAAAAAGAAAAGT